ACAAACCATGAGGGCCCATGATTCCTGGCGTCCACCCCCAGGAAGCAGCAGAGAGATCGGGGTGGACACCTCCTCAGGAAACCCACCAGAAGCCAGGCTCGAGTGTTGTCCCACCCTGACTTTTGCTCACAGTCCCTCTACCTGGAGAGCTCTTCCTAGCCCTCCCTAAGTGAGCTCCTATTCACACCTCAAAGCCCAGCTCAAATGTGCCCTGGAACCCAGCACAGCACAGCAGACTCAGGGAACCCTTTCTGAGTGAACAATTCCTCTTCTTGCCAAGTCCAGAGAGCAAGATAAGTGTGTAGCTCTGAAGCAGAGTTTTTAGGTCAGAGGGAGGGGGATGGACCAAAGAGAAATCAGAGCGCGGCCTGAGGACAAGGGTTTTCCTCCTCTTAGGGCCGAAACCTCCTGTGTAGACGAAGGTCTGAGGGGGAGAGAGAACAGGCCAGAGGGCTGTGCCGTGATACCGATTCTCCTTCCGCCCTCACGTCTGCGCCCTGCCTCACCGCACTGCCCCTTCCCATAGTCACCCACTGAACCCGCCCCAGAACATGGAAGGGCCTCGTCCAAGGTCATGCAGCCAGGAAGCAGCAGGGCCCAGATTAGAATTCAGGCAGCCCAAGTCCAGACGCTGTGCTCTTAACAGCTCAGGGCTCTGGGCTTGGACTCAAGCCCGAAGGGTCTGGATGGGGGACCTCGTGTTCCAGGACGACAGAGGCTGCACGGAGAGCCGAGGGGCGAGAGGACCTCTCTGGCCAAACCGCACTCTACCCCAGCTCCACCCCTGCCTGGCCGAGTGACCTCAGCCTCGGGCAAGTGACCTGGCTCTACAGCCAAGGGTCTGCATCTGTGAACTTGGTGAAGGTCAGGATTATTGGAAAAACCCACAGAGAAGAGATGGAACAATGCTTGGCTGGTATCAACTGTTATTATTGTACTTGTTGCTTTGGATTTGGGTTTTTTTACATTCCCCCTGCCCCCATGCGTTACTTAACGCAGGGCATTATGGTGCCCCTTCCCCTTTAGGGCAAAGGCCCCTGAGTCTGACACTGGATGGACAGATGTGCTGGTCCAGCCTGGGGTTTGGCCCAGCCCTCACACCACTGGCTGGACTCTGGTCCCAACACCCAAGCTTGCCAGCCCCCTGCAGCACTCACCCTCAGTGACGGCAGGCTGGACAGCTCCCCGTGAAGCGTAGTCAGGTTGTTGTGACTCACAGACAAGTGCTCCTGGGCCAGGACAGGGGAGCAGAGGCTCAGCAGTGTGGGCAAGGTATCTACAGTGTCCCCTACTGCCACCAGAACCTTCCACCATCCAGGGGGCCCCTGAGCCACACAGGCCCAGTCCACCTCTTGCAGCCTCCCTCCCTCCCTCACACAGTGGCCTTTTCCTGCATACCTCCCAGGAAAGGGCGCTCACTCCATCTCATGGCCGTCAGCATCTTCCCCTATGTCAAATGCCTTCCGCACAGGTCTGCCCACCTGGCCCCGCCCAACCCACAGGGACCCTCCCTGACTGCCCGAAGCCCCTTACCAGCTTCTGCAGGGCCGCCAACTCCTCTGGGAGGTAGCAGAGGCCCGTGCGGTTCAGCTTCAGCCATCGCAGGCTGGTCATGGCCTTGACATTCTCAGGGAAGTAGCCACCCTGGCGGGGGGGGGGGGGGGGTCATGGGGAGACCGGTCTGGGTGAGGCACACCCCTGCTCCACCACCCTCTGTGCTGCCCGTTTGCATGGGAGCCTTTGGAGAGCAACGGAGCCACCTCGCACCAGCCGTGTGACCTTGGGCAAGTCACTTTGCCACTCTGTGCCTCAACTTCCTCATCAATGTAACAGGGCTAATAAAAGCCCCTGGTGACAAAAGTTTGGGGACTGAGCAATTATCAGGATGGCTCTTGGCCTAAGGTCTCTTGTTGGATCCTGAGCCCTAAAAGGGACAGGATGGAACTGGCTTGTTCCAAGGGGCATCCCGGTGCCCAGCTGTGTGGTTAGCTTGGCTCAAACGCCTCCGCCTGCCACTCTGGGCCCTACCTAGGCCGCCAGAGATGGGGCTGGCGGGGGGGTGGGGGGTGGGGGGGGGATCCTGACCCTCCAACTAGGCCCTGCCTGTGTCCTGAAGCTGCCATCAGTATCCTGTGCCAGGCCCCAGTTCCCCATCCGGCACAGGCTCAGCCTTGTTCATGTCTTCGTCCCCCACATTCGAATGCCTGCCTCAGTATCCCTGGCCCTTATGTCAGGCAGTCGGAGGCATCATGTGCCTGCAGTGCCCTCGGCCGGTGTCCCCATTCCCCTACAGCCACATTTTCAGCTGGTGACTCAGACTCTCCCAGTCTGGAGAGGACAGTGGAGACCTCAGGTGAGGATGGTAGGGATGGGCACTGAGGAAAGTGGTGCGGCCACCTGGGCCCTGAGTCAAAGGTGTGTGCACATGTGGGTAAGTGCAGGAAGGACCTGCCTGCCTCCTCTGCCTAGGCCTAACCCAACCACAGTCAAAGCCCTGGGGCCCCCAACCCCGAAGACCCCGGCTGACACGACACTGACCCCGGCCTCGGTCTGCTTGCTTACCCACCCTGCTGCCCCTGGCTGACCTCTCCTGTACTGGGCCAGCCCTCCCTTCCACTCCTCTGGTCACCAGCACTGTCCACCTCATCCCGGACTCTCTAGAACCCCCTCAGCCACCAACTGGCTGGAAGGCTGGGGTCCAGGTCCTTGCGGCCCTAGTCTACCAGGTCAGCTGCTGTTCAGACAGCCGCCCCCCCCAGGCTTCACACGCCTGTCCGGCAGTCTCCACATCAACTACATGCCTCTACTTTACAGCACCTGCGCCGGATAAGAAAACCCAGACTCTGAGAGGGGAAGTGACTTGCCCAAGACCACACAGGATGGGGTGGCGGTGGCAGGGACAGGAGCAGTGGTGACTGTGCTCCACCAACAGCCGCAGCAAAGCCGGCCATGAGTCAGGGCCTGGCTTGGGCGTGTGACCTCACAGGGGCGGGGAAGGAGGGCTGGGGAGGCGGGAGCAGAAGCTCACAGACCCCTAGGCCACCATCCGGCCCTGGCGGGCCCAGACCCTCCCCCCCCCACCCCCCCGGACAGGGACACGGGGTGGGGGCCCCCAGCCCACTCCCCGGCGTGGCTCCGCCCCCCAAGCGTCAGCCGGCCCAGACCGGCCTAGGTCTTCCCGTGCGGGCCCTGAGCGGAGGCGTCCGGGGTCCATTCCGAGCCGGGTCCCGAGCCCCGGGGGAGCCCCACCCCGCGCCGTCCTCCGTCCTGCGCGGCGCGGGGTCCGGAGGCGGGCGGGACAGGAAGCGGGGACCGGCGCGGGCCCGAGCGGAAGAGACGGCCTGGACGGAGGCCCGGCCCCACGCCCGGCCGGCTCACCTTGAAGTCGTTGCCGCTGAGGTCCACGCCGCGTACGAACGGCAGCACCCCGGTGGCCTCCATGGCGCCGCTCTCGCTGCGGGGCCGGAGGGACGCGGGGGGCAGCGGGGCGAGCCGCGGGCTGGTCCAACGCTGGCCCCGCCCCTTTAACCCGCCCCCGCCCGGGCCCGCGGGCAGGCGGAGCCCGGGCCGCGCCCCTCGCCTGCCCGCGCACGCGGCTTGCTGCAGGGAAGCGCCGGGCCATCCGGATGCGTTAGGTCTCCCTGGGCCTCAGTTTCCCCGCATGTTCACTGACACGAGAGGCCTCGAAAAAAGTCCGGGCTATCCCTGTGGTCCCGAAGGCTTCATAACCTCCGGGCTAAATTCCAGCGACCTATGGAGGGGGAGGGGTGTCACAGGCCCTGCAGCTCCAGGCTATTTCCCCTGGGCTGCTGCATCAGCTGATGTAGGCCCTGACCTCTGGAGAGATTATGGACCCAGGCCCCAGGGACGCAGAGCCCGGGGAGCTTCTTTCCCCGCACTGGGCCCTGCATGGCGACCAATGGTAGCAGGACTCTGGGAAAAACCCAAGCCTGCTCCCGGCCTCCGTTTTCTCACCTGTGAAATGCTTCCTAAGGTTGTCTCCAGGAACAAGTAAACGCAGGTGTAGCTTGGAGCATGCAGCAGGCGCTCAATAAGTGGCACATTATTATTATTCCCACCGCTTAGAGTCAACAACCACCCTTACCTCTTTACTTCCTTGCCCCCTCCACCAGCCAGCATATAGTAGGTCCCCAATAAATAAACGCCGAATGAGCCACAGGTTACATGCATAATCATCCTTCACAGAAGAGGCGGCGGCCTTGAATACCCATTTTACAGGAGAGCGAACTGACGCCAGAATGGAGAAGTGGCCCTCACAAGGTCACACGGAACAGGTGGCAGGGGTAGCCTCGAGTCACGCTGTGTGCCAGCGGGCTAACATAAAATAACGAAGCCACCAAGCACTCAGAGGTGACCTAAAGGGTCAGGTAAGCGGACCTTGGGGCCAGGTAACACCTGTTTGCAAGCCCGGGAAAGAACGTAAATTCAGATAGCTTTCTCCACACCGCTGCCTCATATGCAAGCACACACGCCTTCACAACGGGCCCTTGGGACTGCCTCATTCCAAACTCGAATCGCTACCACCGCACCGCCAGGTCTCGAGTGGGGAACTCGGCCCTGCGCCTTTAAATCCACACTGCATCCAAGAGTCCCGCCCAAGAGGGACGCGATTGCCGGAGAGGGGGTGTGGCCTACTTATCATTGGTTAAACCGCGCAGTATTTTGGAACGTGGGCGGGGCCCCGGGCGCTCCGATTGGAGCCAGGTCTTGCTTGTCTGCAGGCGTCTGAGGTCAGAGGCCGCCCCCGAGGCCTCGGTGTTCGGTCCCCGGGTCCTCCAAGTTCCATTCCCAGGCGGGTCCGTGCTCAGGGGCCCGAGTTGACCCGCTCTGTCCTTCGGTCGCTGTGCTGAAGCCGCAACGCGCGTACAGCCGGAGTGTGACGGGGCGGCCCCGGTCACCCAGTCCCGGGCGTGGAGCGTGCGTCGGACGCAGGTCGGGGGCGTGGTCTCCGCCGGGGCCCCAGGTCAAGGCCCGGGAACGAGGGAAGGGCTTTGGGCTCCTGGCTGGAGTTCGAATGTCGACCCCGCCCCATCACGTCTAGGGCACCGCTCTGCATTTCGCAGGGCCTGGGTGCCGTCACGGTGAAAGGGGCCCTGGCAAGCCCACCAGGGTTTGCTGCGCGGCCGCTCAGCCCTGGCCCTGGGCAGCAGGTGTGGCGGAGGAGGGGAAAGACGGGCGGCACCTCAGGGCGCTGTGGGGCCCGGCAGCCCCGAGTCCGGTTATTTTTAACCACCCGCGCCCCCTCCCCCTTCTGGGAGTTGGAAGGCTTCGGTCTGGGGCCTGCGCCACCCCGCCAAGGGTTGGGCCGAGTCCACTTTAGATAGGAGATATTTAAAGCGCTTTACAGTTTTCGAGCGGATTCTTGGTTTCTCTGGAAATGGGTGACAGTATTGGTCACCGATAAGGAGACTAAAAATGGCTCCAGGGCATTGGCGGGTCACCACCCTAGCCTTTGACCAACTCAGCCCCAGAGCCCTCTTGTCCTATTTTTAGTCTGGCCAAATTGGGGGCGGGTGTTGGGTCTGAGACTCGCAGTGATTCAGGCTTTAGCTGCTCTAGGCATCTCGTCTCCTGGCAACTGAGCCATGGGCACCCACAGCCGGGCAGGGAGGGCAGAAGTTCTTGGTGCCCAAGGTGGCTCTGGGCCCACGGTCATGTGCTCAGGCATCTGCACGGAGACGGTTCTGCCTGGTCAGGTTCTGCCTGGTATGTGACCGGTTCCGAGCCTGTGCCTGGGTTACACACCCCCTCAGCTCTCAGGGCCTGAGGGCAGGATTTCGCCTGGAAAAACCCGAGGCTGGAGCTTGGTGGCCTGGGCCTGGGAAGGATCTCTGTCTCCGCTTCCCAAGTGCCCGGCCCTACCCAACCCTACAGGTCTGGGCTCCTCGCTTGTGAATCCTTCCTCACTGCCGCCTGTGCTGTTTTACAGGTGAACAGACAGCTGGGGCTTCCACCCTCCACTTACTTTCTCAGCTGCTTCAGCTCCCAGCCTCTGAGGACAGCTGCCCCGCCCCTCGCCGCCCCGCCCCGCCCCTGTAATTGTTCCAAACCTGAGGGGCCCAGAGATGCACCTGCCAGTTCTCTGATTGGGCTCTTTAGAGAAACCTTGTTCGCTTGCCCCTACAGCCCGGTCTTCAGCCTTGACTGGCCCCTACCTGTTGAGGAGTGGCTCCCTCCCTGGGCGGCCTGGGCCATCTCGTTCCTCCCATCCTTTGACTTGATAGCTCTGCCTCTGGGGGTTACCCTGTCGAGATGTGGGGGTAACTGACCCCTTGAGCTTCACTGAGGTTCCCTCAAAGGCCTAAGGGGCCCTCCAGGGCAGGCTGCCTGGGACCCCAGCTTGTGTCTTCTTTAGGCCTCGGTTCCCTGCTGCCCTGGTTAGGAACCAGGATGAAGCAGCCTCTGGGACCTGGCCATAGGCCCCAGGAGACTGGACGGCTGGGCGCAGGGGGTGGGAGAGTCAGGAAGCTTCGCGGTCGTGGGTCTGAGTCCCCACCGGTCCCTGTGTGGTCTGGCAGCCTGTTTCTCCCTACGATGGCGGTGGTGATAAGACCCGCTTTAGGTGATGCAGGCGGTCCTTCTCTGACCAGCCAGAAGTCTCAGGGCCTTTCTGCATGAACTCCCCTGTCCAGAGGGTGGGTGGGTGATTTGCGGGTTTGGGGGAGGGGGACTCAGGCAGCTCCCCATCTCCTCCCAAGAAACCCTTCCTCCTGAGAAATTCCCAGGGTCACCTCTCATGGGCTCTACTCTCCGCGACCCCAGCAAGATGGGGTCTGTCCCACTCCCATCCTGGCCACCCCCACCGAGCTGTCCCTGCACCCTGCTCTCTTATAGGCAGACAGACCATGGCAGAGTTCTCCCAGAAACGAGGGAGACAACGTGACGAGGTCCTGGGCAGCACTGTGGACTTCCTCCTGGCCAATGCCCGCCTGGTGCTGGGCGTCGGTGGCGCCGCCGTGCTGGGAATTGCTACCCTGGCTGTGAAGCGGGTAAGACCAGGCTGAGCCACTTATACCTGGGGATGGTTGTCCTCCCGGAAGACAGCAGGGCTGGGCCTGCAGTGGGGCCCCAGGGGATTGTGCGGACAGCCCACGGCTGGCACCTGTTTCTCTACCCCGGGAACCTGGTTGGCTCTGCCTTGGCACGGATGCCCAGGATCAGATGCTCTGATCCGTGTCACTCTGCCTGCAGCTCATTGACAGAGCCACCAGCCCTCGAGATGAGGATGATGCCAAAGGGGACACCACATCCCTGGAGGAGAGCTGGAAAGAACTGACCCTACTCAAGGCCACGCCACGCCTGCAGCCCCGGACCCCCCCTGCTGCCCTCAGCCAGCCAGCATCGCTCCCTGCCCCCGAGCCATCTGCCCCCGGTGAGAGGCAACCCTTCCCCCCAAAACCTGGGTAGGCCCCCCTCTGGTGGTCACATTTGGGAGCTGCAACCCAGACTCCGCCTTAACTGCCCTGTGTGACCTGTGGGAAGTTCCTGCTCCTCCAGGGCGTGTGCTCCCCGCGTGGTTAATGGTGGCGTGTTTCTCTGCCCTGCTAACCTCCTGGGTGGTGTCAAGGCTCCAGCCACCAAGACGAGGACTTGGAGGGTGGCACCAGAGCATGGCAGCAGCGTTACAACAGTGAGGGGCCCCAGGTGGGGAAACTGAGGCCAAGAACCTGCTTTCCTGCTCTACATGACGCTCTTTTAGGGTGGGGGGATGTGGGGCAGTGAGGACTTGTCACCACATGCTCCCTATACGTGAGGCCTTGAGCTGGGTGCCCTCTCAGGTGGTCGTTTCACAGGTGAAGAAAACCAGGCCCAGGGGGGTCACACGGCTAGTAATTGAGCAGAGCTCTCTTGGCTCCTCACGGGGCCTCCTGACCCAGTTCCCAACCTTTCGTTCTGCAGAGGGGTCATCAGGCACCGAGCCTCAGCCGTTGCCTCAGCCGAGCTCCCCAGCACCGCTGTGCCTGACGTTCCAGGAGAAGCTGCTGGCGTTCGAGCGGGACCACGTGACCGTCCCAGAGGCCCACGTGGCTCTGGCCAAGCAGCTGGCCGGTGACATCGCCCTTGAGCTGCAGGCCTACTTGCGGAACAAATTCCCAGAGCTGCCCTTCGGGGCCCTTGTGCCCAGCGGGCCGCTGTACGACGGGTTCCAGGCGGGGACCGCCGACCGCGTGCGCCTCCTGGTCCCCCTGGTGCTGGAGGTGGGCCTGTGGAGCCTAGTGCCCGGCGTGGACACCGTGGCCAGGGACCCTCGCTGCTGGGCCGTGCGCAGGACTCAGCTCGAGTTCCGTGCCCGCGGGAGCAGCCCCTGGGACCGCTTCCTGGTGGGCGGCTACCTCTCTTCCCGTGTCCTGCTCGAGCTGCTCCGCAAGGCCCTGGCCTCCTCAGTCAACTGGCCGGCCATCGGCGGCCTCCTCGGGTGCCTGATCCGGCCCAGCATGGCCTCGGAGGAGCTGCTGCTCGAGGTGCAGCACGAGCGCCTGGAGCTCACGGTCGCCGTGCTCCTGGCGGTCACTGGTGCCGCCGCCGCAGACCGCCCCCTGCTGGCCTGGCCCCTGGAGGGGCTGGCGGGAAACCTCTGGCTGCAGGACTTGTACCCCGCAGAGGCCGCCAGGCTGCAGGCCCTGGACGAGGGCGACGCCGGGACGCGCCGGCGGCTGCTGCGGCTGCTGTGCGGGGTCTGCCGCGGCCACCCGGCCCTGGGGCGGCTGGACCGCCGCCATCTGACCCAGGTGGTCCTGCGCCTGGGGGAGGAGGAGGTGGACTGGGCCGAGGAGGCCCTGGGGGAGCGCTTCCTGCAGGCCCTGGAGTCGCTCGTGGACAGCCTGGAGCGGGCCAGCCTGCCCTGCCACCTCAACCCCGGCGTGAACCTCCTGGGCGGCCTGCGAGAGGAGGACATTGACGACATCGGCTACGCGCTCTACAGCGGCCTGCAGGCCCCTGAGTGGCTGCTCTAGATGGGGGGGGGACAGGGCGGCCGGCGCTCGATCTGACGCTGGTGAGCTGTGCGCGCCTCCCCTCCAGGAGTTTGCAGAGCACTTTTTCTCTTGCTTTAGCCAGAATAGAGGAGGGTGCTCTAAGCCCACGGGGTTAGCATGTAGCGGGCGGCAGTCCTGGGAGCGCCAAGCCCGGGCCTCTGGGGCAGCCCGGAGCGCTGGCCACTCGCGCCCCGTCAGCCCTCAGGCCGACCCTAGGACCTTGGGCTCGGTCCGCCGTCACCAGCAGTGAACACACTGACAGACACGGCTTCTGCTGTCCTAGGCAGGGGATAAAGGCAGCTCCGTTTTTCTGTCGAGAGGGTGAGTTTGCACTTTCCTCGGGTGCCAGCTGCAGGCATCTCGAGGCTTCTGGTGCCGGATGGTAAATTCGACACGTTTGTTTTGTCCCCCAGGGGCCAGAGTCACCTGGCACCCCCGGATTGCAGCTTTGGGGCTGATTTAAAGGCCTTGTCTCCTGACGTCACCTGGTGTCTAGTTGGCTTGTCGAGCTCCCCTCTCTAGCCTGGAGCAGGAGCTCAGCCCGACGTGCTGCCCACCTCATACCTCAGGGGAAGGCCCCTTTCCCTCCAACCGGGCCATTTTTCTCTTTGAGCAGAGAGGCCCCTGGGAGAGCCCCCTTCCCCTGCTGGGGGAGCCGAGGCTCCCTGTGCTGCCCGCCTTGCCTGGAGGCAAGGGAGTCCCACTGGCCCCTGCTGGGCCCGGCCGGAGAGCGGAGGCCGTGCCTTCCCGGGGAAGCCGGCTGAGCGGGCCTGGCCTCCACAGTGCCAACCGGAACTGCTCCCCGCTGACGCCCGTGTTCCCACCTAGCCTGGCACAGGTGGGGAGGGAGGGCCGCCCCGCCCCCCGGGCATCCCTCCTGTCTTTGGTCTCCTTCTTGCTGAAGCAAAGCTATGCCTCAAAGAATATGAATGAGAATAAAAGGAAAAGCTCAAACGTCTGTGTGATTTGTGCTGGGCTCTTCTGAGCAGGCCTTTGGAGTCCTGGAAGCTTGGTACGGGTCTCGGGATCAGCCTGGAGGCGTTAGGATTTAACTGGAAAGTAGGTCACGCAGAGGGACCGTATTACAGGATTCCAGGTGTGAGGTTTCACTTTCGTAATGGGAGCCAACCAGTTAGGGACTTTTTCCCCCCAAAAGCCTGAACTCTCAAGCCCCCACTATACTTTCTGTGGCAGACAGGGCCGCCCCCAAGCCGCCTCACCAGTGTTCAGAGAAACGTGAGGTCCCTACTCCCTTGCCTCTTCTGTGGCTCCACAAATGGGGGATCAGATCACCCCCCCCAAGATAGGGAAGCAAGAGCCTCTCCCCACAGGCGCCCAGGCGCCATGGTAGGGGCTCACTTCCTTTTTTTTTTTTTTTTTTTTTCTTTTGAGAGGGAGAGACAGTGCAAGCAGGGGAGGGTCAGAGAGAGAGGGAGACACAGAAGCTGAAGCAGGCTCCAGGCTCTGAGCTGTCAGCACAGAGCCCGATGCGGGGCTTGAACTCATGAACCATGAGATCATGACCTGAGCTGAAGTCGGATGCTTAACCGACTGAGCCACCCAGGCGCCCCAGGGGCACACTTCCTCTGTCACCACAGATGACAGGTGGGGCCTGGGGAGGGCTTTGGGCCTTGAGTGCTCCGGGTGCGGCCACCCCCGCCACTCTTCCTGGCCTGCTTTCTCTTTCCTGTCCTGGTGTTTCCTGAGGCGAGCCCCACCCCTTTGGGCCAGGACAAGGAGGGGATCAAGGTGCCCCTCTGTCAGAGGGCCTGCACACGGAACAGACGACATGCCTGGGCCCCTGGATGCGGGACCGTGGACTACCTCTGGAGGTCATGAGGGCCCTGCCATAGGGGCCTTCAGACGGCCGGATGGCTCCACGGAGAGGCTGTGGTGAGGTTCAGAGGGCAGGAGACTGGCTTAGCCAAGGTCCATTCGGGTCACTTGGCTTGGGGACCCGTGCACAGGGAGCTGTGAGCAGCTGTCATGGCAGCCGAGTGTTGGCAAGGGAGCAGCCTGGAGCAGACAGAGGCGGGGCCCTGGTATTCTTGTTGGTAAAGCGGGGAACTACATAATATCAACCTCTCGGGCAGGTGTACAGAGTAACTGCTGTGTGCCGTGCCTGGCCCGCACGGGAACCAGACTGGTGGCCCTTGCCCCTCCCCCACTGACACAGCAAGGGGCTCCCAGTGCCAGGCCTGCGTCTGACCAAGCCGAGCTCTTCAGGATCCCCCGGAGGGTCGGCTGGGCACGGCGGGGGCAGCAGTCTGGAAGCCAGACACCCTCTTGGTAGACGACCAAACGCCAACACGCGGCCGGCTCCGGGGAGGCCACAGGCTTCAGGTGGCTCCAAGACGTTCTCCCACTATGATTCCAGTAAGAAAAAAACAGGGTGAATTAAGAAAGAGAGAAAGGAGGTGCTCGTGTTACATCGCCTACCCTAGATTGATGTCTGGGACTTTCAGCTGCTAAGCCAGAGCACTGGAAACAAATTGTCGTTTTGCTAAGAGCCTTTTCAGGACCTTGAGTGCTGGGCCGGCCCAGTGAACGTCCAGAAGGGCTGCTGATCGGTTCCACGTCGTGCCCCTTTCATGCAGGGGCCATTCCAAGTCTGCCTGAGCCACTTGTGGGCTCAGCCCAGGGTCTAAATGTCTTAACGTGACTCTGGCCACAGTGGCAAAAGGAGGCAATCCGTGTCCTTGACTTAGCTTTACCACGTGACCCAAAGCCAGGCGCTCTGATGACTGTGGCACAGCAGAGATGCCACCTGCTCAGAAAGGATCGCTGATGTAGATAAAAAACAAAAGATACTCCCCCCAAAACAGCGAATAGAAACATACTAATTTAAAACGTGTCACCCATACCTCTTCCTCCCTACCTCTGGAATAAACCTTACTGTATATAAAATGTATCCTTTTTGTAAATCCACTTGTCCCCACTTCTCTTCAGGAAACAGCTGCAGGACAGTTTGCCAAGAGGGGGTACCTTTCATTCCCTAGAGCTGAGCTGTCCAGGTGTTCTGATCTTTGCTATTACAGTAGCTCCCCGCCCCCACCTCCTTGTCCGTGGTTTCAGTTCCATGTGGTCAACTGCAGACCAGAAGCAGGTGACCTTCCTGATGTATCATATCAATAGCAGCCTAGTAGCTACATCACCAGGCCCACGCCATTCACCTCCCTTCATCATGCAGGCATTTTATCATCTTACATCCTCACTAGAAGGGTGGGTGCAGTACAATACGGTATTTTGAGAGGGAGACCATGTTCCCATCTCATTACAATATATTGTTATAGTTGTTCTATTATTAATTATTGTGAATTTCTTACTGTGCCTAATTTATATATTGGACTTTCTCCAACTTTCTCATGTATTCTAGGGAAAGGTATCGTAAAACCCAGAGTATATACAGGGTTCAGTACTATCCGCAGCTTTGGGCATCCCCTGGGGGTCTTGGGAAGTAGCCCCAACCCATAAGCGGGGGGAAAACTGTACTTAAAAAACAACTGCTGAAGAAAGCCTCGTGCACACAAGCTGTGGCCCAGGACATCCCTGGGAGTGGAAAGCCTTCGGTGTTCAGACCCTGAAGGATCCGGCCGAACTGCATTCTGGAAGGACTTGGGTCAGCAGGCCAGAAAACCGGCCCAGAGCACTGAGCTGAGACCGGCTGGTCGGCAGGGAGGGGCGAGCGGCCGCGTCGGGGAGGCGGAAGCCTGGGGCGCCCGTCCACGCCCAGCCCCTGCCCGTCGCGGCGGCTCCCAACCTCCCCCCTCCCAGCAGACCTCACAACTGGAGCGGAAAGTGGAAATACGGCGCATGCTGCCACCAGCCGTGCCCGTTGTCCGTGGCTCTCCACACTTACCCGGACCGTGCTGAGAATCGGTCACTCCAGTGTCAGCTGAGGGGCCACCTGGGTCCTTCACGGGCCAGAATCCAGCTCGAAAACAACCTCTGAGCTAGCGTACGTGGTATGCAAGGAAGGCACGTCCTAAGTTTTGGTGGCAAACAGCCCTTCCCCTTCACATTTATATGGCTGGTGGGGCCCAGAAGGGCGCTGGGCCAAGGGGTGGGGGGTGGGGGCTGGCAGGGCCCACCCAGCAGCCTGTAGGCCAAGGCCACCGTCCACCGCCATCCTGTTCTCCCTAAAACAAGGGCCTTCAACCTGGTCATCACATCTTACGCATTTACGTTTTTCAGAAGTACATCTTTCGTTTGTAATCAGAAAAATAAAGTTATTAAAAAAAACAAGCTCCGTGACAATTCGGTGTCACCGATCCATTGAGGAAGCTAAGGTTGTAGTGGGCGGAGCCCAGAGTGTATTCCAAAGACCGACCTGAATGGCTCCTGGGATGCTGCCGATTTCCAGACACAACACAGTCCACCGGGCACGCCTTCAGGCCAGTGGGCAGGCCAGACTCTCCGGCTCGACTCGTTCAGTTGTGAACTCACAACCCGGAGCCCCACCCCCCAGCACAAACAAGGCCATCTCAGGCAGGGAGGGGGCGCATACATCTGCCCCTGGATGGGGGGCCAGTGGACAAGAGTGGTACCACCTGGTGAGCTCGCCCAACCTGCCACCACCTTTGTATTCTAGTCCTGGGATCTCGGACACCACGCGTGACCCGGGGTCGGAGCAGCTGGAGCGTTCCTGGAAGGAGAGTGGGCTGTGAATTCACCCCAAAGGGCAGCGGCGTCTCCTGCCACTGTCCCAAGAGCTGGCGCCCAGTGTGCCTGGCACTGTGGAGTGGTGGGGGGCGGAGAGGGGGGCTTATTTGTAGTTTCCAGCTGCTCCAAGACCAGTAAGCATCAGAGGTGTGTTCTGTGAGCCCGGAGCAGGCAGACGAGCTGACGGGGAGGTGTGCGCAGGATCAGCCAGGCTTCTGTTCTCCAAGGGGCGGCAGGTGGCTCTCCCCGCGGTGTGGATTCTCCCAGAGCTCCAGGGTGCAGGCATGGCGGCAGACTTCAATTCCTGCTTGGCACCTTCTGTGGGGAGAAGCACGTCCCCATCCGAGCCGCCATCTCCACCATCGGACAGGCAGCAGGCACTGCCTTGCGGGGAGGCTGGGAAGCTGATCAACATGGTGTGAGATCCACCTGGCCTAGCGCTCAGCTGCGACCAGGACTCGGCCGGGGGGGGGGTGGTCTCCGCCTCGGTCCTATGCTGCCTAAGCTGTACGAGAGGGCCCACGGAGCGATTCAAACCTTTCCAGGATCAGAAGGAGACAGATCAAGTTCTCACCACCTGAATGCTGCCAGCCTGAGCAGGCCATCACGAGACCTAGAACCCCCTCACTTTCCCCAAGGTTCTGTTAGTGATGTTATCACTGCAGTCGGGCCTGGCTGTGACCTTCCGCCAGAGCCCCCAGGTGAATACCGTCCCGTTACAGACGAGGCCGCTCAGGCCGGCAGTTAGAGCACAAGCCCAGGGAGGCACCGCAGACTGGTGGAGTCCGGACTCGAGCCAGGTCTGACCTGGGTACAGTCCCACCCAGTGGCATTTGGTCTTGGCACACACGGGAGTTGCCTGTGGAAAGACTGAAATCCACAGATCCACGTGTAAAATCTAGAGTCTATAAGGAGCTCCTATGACTCAACCACAAGACAACCCAAGTGAGAAATGGCAGAAAGACTTGAATAGACATTTCTCCAAAGATACACAAGTGGCCAGTAAGCACATGAAAAAGATGCTCAATGTCAATGTCGTTTAGAAAATGCACTTTAAAACCACTGTAACGCTTCACACCCATTAGGATGGGTAATGAAACAATAATCAGAAGGATTCACATCCTGCACCAGCACAGAAAATATGCGCTGGTGAGGATGTGAACTCACCTGTGCGTTGTTGGTGGGAATGTAGAAGGGAGGGCAGCTGTTGTGGAAAAACGTTCGGTGGTTACAGAGAATTCCCATGAGAGCCGGTAGGTCTAGTCCCAGGTGTGTGCCCCAAAGAACTGAGAACAG